CAGCAGCCGGCGCGCCTGCCCAGGTCCGGGATGCAGGTGTGCCCTCGCCAGTCATCGCATCAGAGGCAGCCGCTTCCCCCGCGGTGGCCGGTGGGGAGGCAGACACTGTGCTCTCAGGGCGCGCATGTAAATACAGGGTGAACCCCATAGTGTGTGCACACACTGAATAATTACAAAGGCGCTGTTGGTCAGCATACATGTCATAGCCGGCGCGCCTGCCCAGGTCCGGGATGCAGGTGTGCCCTCGCCAGTCATCGCATCAGAGGCAGCCGCTTCCCCCGCGGTGGCCGGTGGGGAGGCAGACACTGTGCTCTCAGGGCGCGCATGTAAATACAGGGTGAACCCCATAGTGTGTGCACACACTGAATAATTACAAAGGCGCTGTTGGTCAGCATACATGTCATTTTCAAATTGAGCTCTCAGCTGTGAAAGCGTGTGTGTATTTGCGGGGTGGGCGGGGGGACGCCCTGTATGTGGTTCCAGAATGCGACCCAGTCCTGCAAAGGTGGAGGGAAAGACAGGTGTCTGTCGGGCCCTAAACGGGCCCCGGGCCGGCCTCGCAGGTGCCGTTGGTCCATTACTAAACGTTTGCTTGAAAAACAACGAAGCCTCGCAAGTCTCACCACAAACTACTTCCTACCTGGCGCGTGTTACCGAAATGTAAACGCCTCTTTAACGCTGAACAGAGGTTTTAGCAGATGTATTCAGTTATCGGGATAGTATCGCCGCCCCTTGGCTCCTGCCTCTCCGGTTTCTAAGAATAACGTTTAAAAGGTAGGTTGGTTGGCCTGTTCCCCGGCTGACAGCTGTCACCCTCCTACTCCTCCACTCGGGTGTTTCTTTGAGGTTATGTAAAAACAAGAAAAAGAAAAAAGAGCTGGCTAAATGCGACAGCGTATTCCGCGCTGTGTCACATCCTGATGGGCTCTTTCCTCCTGTAAAACGGTGGGTTTCTCCTTCCTGGGAGTGCTCACCGCAGCGGGTCCCTGTGTCCCCCAGGGCTCCGAGCTGTTCCTCGGGGGCAGCGAGGTGAAGAGCCGGGCCGTGGTGAAGTACTCCTCCGCCCCCCCTCGGGCAGCCTTCGCGCGCCTGGAAGAGAAGACAGACCTGAAACTGCCCCCTGCCAACTGGCTACGGGAGAGCGCCAAGCTGGGGCCCGCGGGCACCACCATCCTGGGCACCAGTAAGAAGAGCAAGCCGTTTTCCAGGTGAGTGCCCGTGGGTGGCGTCTTCCCGGGGGCTGCCAACCCCTGCTCCGCCCGGAACGCTGACACCTGCTCTTCCGCTTAATCGTCAGCTCCTCGACTTCGTGCGTTCTCTCTCTGGGAAAAGGTCCTATTTGACTTTCGGAGCCCCGTCTTCCCCCTGCCGATAGGGTTATGTTGTCATCGGAAGATGCCGACGGCACATACTTCTCTCAGGTCTGCGTCACGTCTGAACACAGCTGAATTCTGACCCCTACACTTCCATCAGATGTTTTGTTTTTAGCCAATGTTCATGCCTTCTGCATATGTGAGCACAGAGCGTTAGGATGGCGCCCGAAGAAGAAGACCCTTAAGGCGGCCTGGTCCGCCGTCCTGTGGGGTTTTTCATTAACACGTTAAGCGCCCAGCCTGTTTGTCTTCCGGGTGGAAAGTATAGTGTCAGTCACCGGCGACTGACTGGGCGCTTAACGTGTTCAATGGCGGGGTTGTCGGGTCTGAAAAGGCCTGATGCGGAAAGCCAGCATGTTGGTTGGGTGGCTTGAACCCTTGCCTGTGACACTTGCTGGAAATGCTGCTGGTGGCACTTGAGAGAGTAGCCTGGGTCTTACTGAGGATGATGTATGAGCGTCCACGTTCTTGTAGACCATTGAATGTGTGGGGTCCTCCTTCCTCTCAGTGATTGAACCCAGAGTATTTCCATACGACAGGTGGCAAGAGCCATGGATGTATGAGCGTCCACGTTCTTGTAGACCATTGAATGGGTGGGGTCCTCCTCCTTCCTCTCAGTGATTGAACCCAAAGTATTTCCATACAGCATGTGGCAAGAGCCATACATACATTAATACCTATGAGCCAGTAGGTTGGAAATTATCCTAATGCCACTCGAGGTAAAAGTTCTATTTACAAAATGGTGTTTGTTTGTAGCAATATTTCTACTAGCAAAAGTTGGAAATAGTCCGTGTATCTTCTTTTAGAAGAATGGCTTAGTAAATTATGATATGTAAACACAAATGTTAGAAGGTGAGCCTTAGCCGGGCCGCTTAGTGGTTAGAGCATCTGCCCTCTGACTGAAGGATCTCAGGTTCGATTCCGGTCACGGGCAGGTACCTCAATTGCAGGCTTGATTCAGTTGGGGTGCATGCGGGAAGCAACCAGTCGACGTCTCTCTCATATCAATGTTTTTCTCTGTCTCTTCCACTCTCTGTAAAAATCAATGGAAAAGGTGTCCTTGGTGTGGATTAACAACAATAACAAAAATGTTATAAGGTGATTTACATGGTAATTATATTGACTGTGCACACACTGTGTTAAGTACTTTATACATTGATGCCCTTTAATTCTCACAACAGCCTCTGAGTTAGGTACCATTAACTAATTTTCGCACGGACACACTGAAGCTCATGAAGGTTAAGTAGCTTGCCCAGCCCACATAGTAAATCATCAGAGCACACTCTGAAGTGAGGTGGGCCCAGGGAAGTATCCTGGCTCCTGACTGGGAAATGCGGACACGCACGCTTTTCAGGCGTGTGGGTTATGGATGTGCCTCATGTGGTATCTGGCACGACATTGTTTTTCTTTTCTCCCGGCCGAATTGGAGCCGGGTGTATTTGTTTTTCCCATATGTACTTTAAAAGAGTAATATTGTATATCGGTAGGAACACAGTCCCAGACTTAAATTCTGATAAATGTTTGTTTCTATTTTTCTTACCTTTCCGCCTAAAAAGAATAACATCTTGAACTATTTTCTCTTGGAGATTTTTTGGGTTTTGTGATTACAAAAATGAAAAGAATTGTTCATTGTTTTTATTCTAGGTGTTTCCTATTAATTGCTCCTAATGATTATTACTATATTTTATCAAATTTAAGATGCCACTGATTTTAAGTAACACCATTACTTTATATGCCACTAAGAAGGAAAAACTAGCCAGCTGTAATGGTGAGAGGCATGCTGATTTCAGAGATGACAGAATGTGGGAACTGTGTGTCCTTGAAGTTGACCTTATCTGTGATAAACTCTACCTGCATCACTATGAGCATGACCTTTGTGTCCTTCGTTCCCTCCGTTAGCTTTGGGATGGCGTACGACTTTATTGACTCCGTGGGCAACGATGTGGACGTTGTCTCTGACTCTGAGGTAAGTGTCCTGATGGGGAGGCCATCGGTGCTGGGCACGTACACCCGCTCTGTGCAGGACCTTGAAAACCTGATGAAATGAGACCACTGTCTGATTATCAAATGCCTTTTTTGTTAGTAAACAAACACGTATCCTTTCTTCAGAGAGGAAGGAATAACCCCCCAAACACTAGCAGTGGTAACAATACCAATGTTGATGGTTATGTTTTTTAAAAATAGCAGTTACAAGTGATTAGAGTGTTTGGGATGATTTTGTATGTTACCAATTGAGAATGAGATATGATGCTTCTGGCGAAATCGATTGCTCCTTAGTTGGTCATTTTTATCTGATATGCTGAAAGCCTAGGTCGGTGCAAGTGTGACCGTCAGCTAGGTTAACAGGATGACTTGTAAAGTGCAGGTGATTGAGGTTTGGAAGAGCTGTCTTCGTGTGTTTGCATTTAGCTTCTGTGGAAAGTACAGTTTGTATAACCTTAGGGAAATAAGGTTTATTATGCTTTAAAATAGTAAAGTGCAGGTGATTGAGGTTTGGAAGAGCTGTCTTTCGTGTGTTTGCATTTAGCTTTCTGTGGAAAGTACAGTTTGTATCACCTTAGGGAAATAAGGTCTATTATGCTTTAAAATGGAATGAAGTTAAAAATGGAATCACACTAAAAAAGGTCTTTCTAAACTCTTTCCTCTTCATTTTCTTAAGAACATAAAAAAGCTCCTGAAGATCCCCTACAGCAAGTCCCACGTGAGCATGGCCGTGCACCGCGTCGGGAGGACCCTCCTGCTGGACGAGCTGGACATCCAGGAGCTCTTCATGAGGTCTTCCCAGGTAGGTCTCTGTGAACCCACCTGCACGCTGCGTGTCAGCAGCCTGAGGGCACTCGAAAGATGACTTGTTTCCAAGAAAGGCCGAAGTGGAAACAAAGGAGTACTTCAGCAGCCAGAAGCCGGGGTCTCACAGAGAATAACAAGTGGAAAGGAGAGAATTGGCAAGAAACTGACTGATACCAGCCAGCAGGATTCTTGCAAGGAAAAGGATGGAGCCAGTGAAAAAGTGGTGAAAAGTCTGAAATTTAAGGGACTAGGTTAAATTTTTGAAAAACCCTTTGATGTCTCCTTTAAAGAGATTCTCATGAAACATGGCTGCCAGGAAATGTGGAAAATGTTGTTATTCTTCCGAATATATAGTTATTATAATTAACTGGTTCACTTAAAGCAGTGCCTCTCAAACAATGTTGATAAATGCCTGTTTCCCCCCCAGTGTATAGATGATGGATGCTTTTGCACAAAATAACCATGTTGCCGTTTCCCAAGGCTTACTCTCCGTGTCTGTACTTCCTTTGCATGCACTGTTTGCAAATAGTTCATGGTCCTACCAGTCCCATAGCTATTATTTAAAGACTATTCCTGCAATGCTTTGGTAAAGGAAGATAAGTTATGGTGACTTACATTGAATACGTATTTCTGAAACAGTATTCAAAAAGTAAAGAGTACTTCCTGTAAAAAGAGTAATGGGTAACATTGTTTTGACTACATGTTTGTTGTATTGATTAATTCCTTATGTTATTCAGACTGGTGATTGGACGTGGCTGAAAGAGTTTTATCAGAGACTTATTGATCAGAAGTGGCAGAGGAAGAAAAAGAGCAAAGAGCATTGGTATCAAAAGGCTATTCTTTCCAAGTTTTTATATTACAGGTACTTGGCTATTTGTTTATTTTATCTTAAAGAGGAAGAATTAAATTCTGATCTAAAATTTAATTTGAAGCCAGGAAAAATAATAATTTAAGGTTTGCCACTATGGTATTGTTTACATTTCAATGTCTTATATTTCTTTTCTTTAAAAGTAAGATTTATGCTTGGTTATAGAGTCTGGTTTTAAAAAGTAGTAGACTTGCATGAGCTGACCCCTAGTGACAGTGTGATATTTCCATTTCTGATTTGGCCAGTATCAATGGCGATGGAGCCGCGCAGCCCGTCCCATCTGCTGCAGAGCAGCGGGAGTCATCCAGTTCAGACCAGACAGGTGACTCGGACGGGGCGTCGTGGCCCGCCCCTTTCGAAATGCCTTCCCCAGTTTCCGAAGATCCCAGTGCTTCCAGTCAGGTGAGTTAGTACTCCGAGGCTCACTCAGCAAACTCATTTAAGAAGACGAAACCAATTATCTTGCCAATAAAAATAGATGAACAGGAATACAAAATATTCTACCAATTTATGTCTCACAATTATAAAATCACAATTATCTTGCCAATAAAAATAGATGAACAGGAATATAAAATATTCTACCAATTTATGTCTCACAATTATAAAAACATACTTTTTTTTAGTTGTTTTTTTTTAAGAATTTGCAAGAGTATGAATGGCTAGATCAGATTTTTTAAGTTTAAAATTTAAAATATTTAAAAAATGTTCTCAGCATTTAATAAACACCCTTTTTTTTGTTGGTTTTTTTTTTTTTTTTTTTTAGGAGTTTGCAAGAGATGTGATGGCTAGATCAGATTTTCTTAAATTAAAAATTTTAAATATTTAAAAAATGTTCTCAGCATTTAACGTAGCTCACCAATATGTTTATCAATGCTGATTATCTCCTTAAAGTCATAAGAGTATTATAGCATATAATAAATATAGTGATGTAGTATATTATAAACTTTAGGTGTAAAGCAAGTGCCTATCAAATATCGACTCAGAGACTTGGTTGTACTTTAATTACTGACCTTAACTTTTAGTCTGATTTTTAGGGCTAAAATCACCCTTAAGATTTTCTGGATGAGGTTCCTGAGGTTTTAACCCACAATAATGTTATGAAGCTTTTAGAAAGGAAGAGAGAGTAGAATGCGTTGTCTCTTATATTCTTGGTTTCTTCTTATTGCTTGTTTAGTTTTGTCATTGTTTCTATCAAAGTAAAAAAGAACTCCACAGGTGTGAATTGTATATGTCTGTTTTCAGGTAAACCTGTTGATAAACTTAAAGGAGATAAAAATAGGATTTTTAACTTGGTAAATTATTTTTCCTCTTGCTCTGTGTTCTCACATATTAAAAATTATTCACCCAGATTTTTGCTATCTTTACAAATTATAGGATTACAAGGAGGCAAATATGTTTAACTTGATTTTAGTTTTTGTAGGTTTTAAGATGGAAAAACCTTATTAAACTATGTAATGAATTCAGATTTCTCCCAAGTTGGGAAAAACTGAGGAAAAGAAAGGAATTACCATGCAAGGTGACAGTGGGAACCAGCAGGAGGGGGTGTGGTGTGGATGAAAAGGGCACGGGGGCTGGGCATGCACAAGGCCCAGGTCAGGCCGTGGGGACTGGAAAAACTGAGGAAAAGAGGAATTCCCTTGCGAGGTGACAGTGGGAACCAGCAGGAGGGGGTGTGGTGTGGATGAAAAGGGCATGGGGGCCGGGCATGCACAAGGCCCAGGTCAGGCCATGGGGACTGGTTACACTGGTATGAACACAGGATGTGTTAATTTGCTTGGTAGTTAGCCATTATGTTGTATTTGTTTTATACACTTTCATGTATATGATTATAGTTCACCAAAGGAGTTTTTAAAAATTCTTTTTATATTCCTTGACTTCAAAACCCACACATAAAAAGACACAGTAGAAATACCAGTCTCCCGCCACCCACCTCCCCTTCCCATTCTGTCCTTACCTTATGTAGGGCTCCCTATGAAAGGCCTTGAAAGCTGTTGAGAAGCTGTAGACTTGCATGTGGAGGAAGTGAACTGGCATCTAGTTAGTGCCTCTGCACTTTACGCCATGGGTATAAAGTACTGCATACGTGTTATGGTATGTGTTCAATGTTGATGGTGTCATTTTACAAGTAAACTAAAGCTCATAAAGGGAAGATGTTTGTCCCTGGTCGCATGGCTGGTGAAGTCCAAGCTAGTGTTCAGATCGTTGTGACTTCAGAGGCCTGTTCTCGAGCCGTACTCCACTGTGTCCACATGTTCCACACGTGTTCAGGATGGCCTCAAAGCAGATTGTCTTAGCAATGCCATGTGCCGGGAAGAGCTCTCCTGCCATAAAAATAATCTTTCACAGAATATTTTTAGAACATATTGTACAGCCTAAATTTCAGCCTTTAGAGATTTATTTTTGTCTGCAAGCCACCACCTTATGAATTCTCGTTCCCCAAACCTAAACCACTAGTTTGAGGCCTGGGTTAAGCAATATTAGAGGTGAAATAGGTGAAATAGGTATCTTTGTAATGGCCTGAGAGCCAGATCTTTATTTGGAACATCATAACCTAGAGCCCAAACTCTCATTAAAGCAACTACCTGGCAAATACGATTTTGGGAGTTGGTCCACAGGTAAATAACTTGTCTGTGTAAATAAATAATAAAGTTTGAAGTTCTATAGTATTCTTTAAGGACATGGCAAAAGTGCTGGAGATTGATGCATGCGCACCCACCCACACACACAGCCTGTGCGTACAGTCATGTGCGTTGGTCCACAGGTAAATAACTTGTCTGTGTAAATAAAAAGTAAAATTTGAAGTTCTATAGTATTCTTTAAGGACACAGCAAAAGTGCTGGAGATTGATGCATGCGCACCCACCCCCACACACACAGCCTGTGCGTACAGTCATGTGTACTTCTTTGCAGGCAGGTGCTAAGCCTATTAGCATCCACCTAGGATGAGAAGTGAGAGTTCACGGACTGCGGTGTGCGCGCACATAAGCATCCCCATCTTGGGGACTATTGTGGCATTGACGTTCGGTTTAAAGTAATAAGCCTATTAGCATCCACCTAGGATGAGAAGTGAGAGCTCACGGACTACAGTGTGCGCGCACATAAGCGTCCCCATCTTGGGGACTATTGTGGCATTGACATTCGGTTTAAAGTCATGTGTCTTAATGGCAGCTGCCTAATGATTGGAAAACTGACTGGTGGGCTGAGTTTACCACTGTCAAAAGTTCCTCTTTCTAAAGGGTTTTTGAAAGTACAGTCCACAGGATGTATTGACTTAAAAGTGTCCTGAGATTAACTCAGTCTGAGAACATTGGTCACACAGGGGAAGTCGATTTTCTACTACAGAACCCACAGGATGTATTGACTTAAAAGTGTCCTGAGATTAAGTCAGTTTGCGAACATTGGTCACACAGGGGAAGTCCATTTTCTACTACAGAACCTCTTAGAGCAGCAGTTCTCAACCTGTGGGTCGCGAACCCTTTGGCGGTCGAACGACCCTTTCACAGGGGTCGCCTAAGACCATCCTGCCTATCAGATATTTACATTACGAGTTATAACAGTAGCAACATTACAGTTATGAAGTAGCAACGAAAATAATTTTATGGTTGGGTCACAACATGAGGAACTGTATTTAAAGGGCCAGAAGGTTGAGAACCACTGTCTTAGAGGCTTTTCCATGCTCATGAGCATTGTTACTCTCCAGACGCAAATCTACAGCGAGTAGCCTTTGTCACCACTCACTCTGGAAATTTCTACCAAGTATCCCAGGACTAGTGGTCTGTGAAACACATTACAAATGCAAAACTAGAGGCTGTCATCATGACGAGTGTCTCAAAAATAGGGCTGGAGTTTCTCAGGAATGTTTTAATTGCATGGAGATGGGGTGGCTAAAGGTTAATGGAATTGAAATTTACCCCAAAAAGAGAAAAATTTAAAACTTTGAACGCTAAAGTAATCTTTGATCTTTTCTGAGTGCGAGCTATATGTGAATGGCTCGCTGCAGTGGCTGGGATAGCTAAGAGCTGTCGGAAGCCACCAGTGACGAGAGGTGGGACTATGTCTTAGCCTGATGACAGCAGTAGCTTTGAGGTGTCTGCTTTGAATGCTTAGGTGATACTCTAACAGTAGGCCGTTGATAAGAACTCTGGCAGCAGAATCACTCCTATCCTTGCACTTTTCACAGGGAAGTGAGCCTCTCGAACCCTCATACATAGTGGGGCATCTGGCCTCAGCCCCCAAAGAACAAAACCTGACTACTTTATTCAATGACGGGGAGAACAGTCAGGTATGCTTCCCAGGTGTCCGTGTGGAGACGCCCAGCCCCAGCCTACTAGTCATTAAAAACTAGTCTCCGTTGGAATTCATAGGGGGGAGATCTACTTGATCCTGAAAGTCCATTTCTAAACAGCTCTGACCTTACAGCTCTGTCATGTTCACTTCGACTCCTTTGTCCTTTCTTTGTTCTAGTCTTTCTGTGGATCGTGGGGGGAAATTACAGCTCTCCTGTTTATTATATAATCACCTTTCCAATTTTATTTTAAATCAAAGGGTCTTAAGAATGATTTTGTTCGGAATATTCTGTGGACGTTTGAAGATATACATATGTTGGTTGGCTCCAACATGCCTATATTTGGAGGAGGCAGATACCCAGCAGTCAGCTTACGTCTCAGGTAAACCACGCGCGTTTTCCTTAAAACCTCTGTCCATCTGCTCGCACCCATCGATCTGGGCATTCCTCCCCCTCCTGCTAGAATTAAAATGCACAACCAAGCAGGAGCTGTTCTCAGGGAATGCTGGGTGCCCTGGAGCTGGTCACCCTGGTCCTTGATGAATGGACTCAGAGGTCTTGTACTGGCCTCGTCTTACGTCTGAGTCTGCCACTTGTGAAAGTGTGGTAGAATTGATTTACGGTGCAGGAGGTGGCTTTCCAGCGTCCTGTTAATGCTCCAGGTGTGTGTGCTCACGTTAGCCAGTGTGCGTTCCGACTTGGGTGGCGGCGTGCATGGTGGGCAGTCTTCACCGCAGGTTGTTGGAGGAGCATGCAATGGGCCCACAGTCACCTGCTGCCATCTCCTTTTGTTCCTACTGGAAACTCTTATGGGTTCCAGTTAGAGAAGCAGAGCTTATGCAAAGACGTTAAATAGAACAGCTACGTGTGCATATTTCATCAGCAAAGAGCTTATATGGCATTTCCCACGTAGGGAGCACAGATTAAAATAGTTAAATGGGAGAAATAAGTCTCAGGTGATTCATTGTGAAACATCTTCATTAAACCAAATAACACCAGAAATGTTACATTTTTAGGGATAACAACAAACCAATCAATGTGCTCACTGGAATTGACTATTGGCTGGACAACTTGATATGTAATGTACCAGAGCTTGTGATGTGTTTCCATGTAAACGGGATTGTACAGGTAAGACACAGCCCGTCTTCTCATAACCTCTCAAGAGCAAATTGGTGCAGAGAATAATGCCTCACCGAAGTTTTTAAGGCCCTGAAAATCCCAGGTGTACTTTTTGGCAAGGAACGTAGCCGTGAATAAACTGAAATTCAATTATTTTCACATTTGAGTTGTTGGTAGAATTCTATATATCACAGGAGGATAATTTTACAGGTAACTTGTGAGAAGGTTATAAATACACTGAGTCTGCACTGTAGCCATAGAACTGTAATTTTAATGCCAGGCACCTATGATAGTTACAGTGTCTATACAGTGGAGGTATTTATTCAGTACTCAGTTATCTACTCAGTATATGCAGTTTTAGGGAAAGGCCACAGTAATAGATCGCTTATATAGTAAATCGTTGTTGAGCATGCTCTGTGAGGAGGCACTTTGTCCCCATTATAAATGTTGGGGGAGAAAACAGTATGGTCATGGCTCAGAAAGATAGGATCAATGGGAAGTGATGTGCGAAGAGGAAGCAGGAGACGCAGGGTAAGGCTGGAGTGATGCACACACAGAAGTCTGATGTTTGTAGATGAGGTCATTTCTCTTTTGATCTGAAAAACAGACTTCCTGGAAGTGGCATCTTAACTGGATCTTGAATGAGAGATAGCGTCCCCAAAAATACCAGATGGATCTTAAAAGAGGACTGTTAGTAAATGGGTGATTGGTAATCCGTCCAGTTAGGGAGCAAGCCTTCTGTAGCAGAAAGGTTGGGAAGGTCAGCCACATCCCAGGGCCTTGATGCTGAGCTGAGTGTGGACTTGGTTCGGTTGGGAACCTGGAATTGGTGGAAGCTCTGCATCTGGGATGTGAAATTCGTGTGCTGGAATATTAATCTGGGGATGGTGTGTAGGACAGCCTGGGAGGGTTTGGAGACAAAGACGGGCTAGGCATGCACTACTGTTAGGAGTGACGTAATGTCCTCCTACTACGTCATGTCCTCCTACTTAGTAAGTACTGAGAATTGACAGCAGTCATAATGGCTCGGGTTTATTGAGTGCTCTTTGTTCCAAGCACTTTGCTAAGTGCGTTGCAGGCATTGTCTTATTGGTGCTCGTGTCAGCTCTTAGCTGCCCGTATGCTAGTGTCCCTTTGGATGGAGAGGGAGACTTGAGAGTCACGGAGCTCAAGTGAGTCACGCGGAGCCACATCGCTAGGGAGTGAGTGGTGGTGCCAGTATTGGAGCCTGTCTCTGCCGGTGGCCCTGCTCTTAGCCGTCCTGCTGCAGCCCAGCGACTCCTCACCTTCAGCTGCAGCAGGACCCCTGTGCTCTCCAACAATCCACTTGCTTGAGCCAGTGTTTCAGGATGGAGGGGGCTTTGTAGATGATTCGATTTGCACCGTCCCCCACATGGCAGCGTTGAATGAGAGTGGGGAGAGGAGGAGGGGAAGGGAATCCGGGCTCGGGCTCGGGCGCTCAGGCACAGAATCCTGGTGGTATTGCCTGAGGTGGGAAGGTGGAATCTGTTCAGGTGGGGAAGGTGATGTGTTATCGTTGGGCAGTTTGGGGAGCATTAAAAAATGCCCACTGAGCATGTTGAAGTTGCAGGCATTAGAGAAGAGGGGACTAGAGAGAGAAGTGGGGTGCCTTCTGCCCAGATCCTGTTGAGTTCCTCCCCAAGGAACTGCATTAAACGAGAACATCGGAACCTCCCAGGCAGGGGAAAGGGAAGGCTTTCAGGCCGAGGGAAGGCGGGCCAGAAGCTCTGTAAAAACCAGGAGCGCGTTAGCTGAGCCAGGGACGAGCACCACCCTTAGGACTGGGGTCCAGGTTCCTAGTTGGTTTGGAGTCCTTAGTCTTGGAGTATTTCAGAAACGTGGGCAGAGGAGTTTAGGGAAGTGTGACCAGAAGGCAAGCTGGGGACACAATGCGGAGGTGCTTTCAGAGCAG